GCCACAAGTACTCCTGTTCTTCTTTCTACACATGAAAGTTATTCTGAAATAAAAGAGGTTGTGTATTTAAAGCGGACAACCATTCCAGATTAACTCCGTGTTTGGACACTCTTATTTTGGAATAAGAGAGTTTTTTTCTAGTTTAATTTGACACACTTCCAGGTGAAAATTCCTGAATAGTCATTCCTAAATAATTCCAGGAACAGACAAGCCATTAGTAAGCAACAATGTTAACTGAGAGATCAGTAATGTGACAGAGGCAGCAGTTTGACAAAATAGGACATTACTGTCCATTATTTATGAAGATTACCAGGCTTGGAAAATAGTACTGCAATTGCGTTCAATCAAGAAAACTAAGACACTAGGAACTCTGTGCTATTAAATAAATGGCTTTCTAAAAGTAGACTGAGTGTCTGATGCTGCTCCCATTAAAGTCAATGACAAAGTTCCCATTGACTTCAATGGGAGCAGACCCCGAATACTTAGATCTCTATAGAAGATCGAGAGAGTGTACTACAAAATGTACAAAGTGAAAGTATATTATAGAAAATGCTGATACAAAGCCAACAAGGGTAAGTGACCCATCTTTGTAAGTGTAGAGCATACTTTTGTCAACTGAAGTGCTCCACTTACTGAGTATGGTAGTAGAAATCTGTCATCTTAACAGAGACTTTCAATCATGGAAACAAAAGAGATTTATAAGTAGTGCAGTGTAGTGCGAGGATATAACACAGAATCTTTCAAGCTAGCTACAGTTTAGCAAACAACTTAATCCTTTCCAGTACCCAAATTAAAGGACTTTAATTTCTGTTCCATCAGTCCCTACATTTGTAACTTTTGGAACATCATATTACATTCTTCTTAAAAAATGCAGGATTCGATAAACTGAAGAAATTGGCAGTCCCCCCAATACAGCCTCAGATGAAAATCCACAGGAAAACTCTCTCTTTTCCCCTTGGAACTTTTCCCAGGTATGTAGTGTTAAGAGTCTCTTGAAGCTCCTCCCCTGAATCATAATTACCCTGAAACACCTAAATTGATCCATTTTTAAATAGTTCAATGGTTGTTGTATCTAATTTTTTAAAAATGGTTGGCCAAGAGTTGAGGAGGAGAAAGCTCATTTTGGTTATGTTGGCAGCTCCACTGATCTCTCAGTAAAAACTTCAGTCAAAACAAAAGCCAAAAGTTTGATTGACAGTTCGGTTTTTTAAGTTCAGTGTCTCAGGTGTGACATTTGCCATTTAGATTTTATATCACTTTGTATTTGTGTGTGTACAGACATGCATTCAGTGTGTTGGTTTATTCACAATGTCAAAATCATCTGTGCCAATGTACATCTTAACTCTGTGCTCCCATACCAGTGTAACACCACAGTATATATTCCACCTTTCAGAGTACCAGTACCATTAGTTGGCCAAGTGAAGAAAGGCTTAGCACGCTATGCAATGGCATTTCACTGTTTGTAAGTCCTGCCCCCTTAAGACACATTCCCTGACCCAAAAAGTTTACAATCTGACATCCAGGTTTTGCAAGCAGTAACACATGGGAGCAGTCCCATTGACTGCAGTGGGATTATGCATATACATGAAGTTACACAGATGTGTAAATCTTTGCAAGCTTTGAACCAAAATAACCTAGCATTTTGTCAATAAAGTTCCCCATTGACTTGAGAATATTATGACAAATTGTCACTGTACAACACACAAAATAATTCAAGTACAATATTGCTAGTAGTTAAATCTGAAGATTATATCTCTGTGCTCTTCGGTGTCAAATTTATCCCTACCAGGTTTCAAATATTTTTAGAATTGCCCATTGTTTCAAAATATGGATGCCAAGTTATAATAAAAAGTGAATGAAAGTTACCAAGTTATAAATTCCTAAATCAGATTTCTTTTCTTTCCAGAAATATACATCTGGTTTTGAGTGACAGGAATGTACACAGAACGAGGGAGTGCTGGACCTTGTAAACCTCGATAATAATTCACTCTGATGGCCCTGATGTGTGGTGACAGTTGACTGTCTCCAGGGTGTTCACCATGCAAAAAGATAATCTCACTAATAGGATGTTTCTTGGAATGTAGTGGGGACAACTTCTTGTTTCAGATGGTGGAGGAAGTAACTGGGGGGCAAATATTTTAGTCTTGATTCTGACTAATGGAGGGAGAGAAGGGAGAATTGGTAGTGAATCTGAAGGTTGAAGGCTATTTGGATGAAAGTGATCATGAAATGATAGATTTCACAACTCTAAGGAAAGGAAGGTGTGAGAGGAGCAGAAAAAGGATAGTAGACTTCAAAAAAGAAGATTTTAACCAACTGGGAGAACTGTAGGAAAAGGTGCCACAGGAAGAAAATCTACACCTGTTAAGGAGAGCTGATAGTTTGGCAAACTATCTCAATAAGAAGAATACACAGTTCAGATTTTATAAGGTCTTAAAAGGCACTTCTGCACTTTTCCCTTCCTTATGAAGTTTAACAAAGGCTTCAAATATTTGTTTAGGATTTGTTCTGCTTGGTTTTCCTTAGAAATATCAGACGTGTCAAGCTTGTTTTTTCTCTAATTTTGCTGGAGGATTCATTATAGATCATGAGCTTTCTGAGCCCTTACCCAAAAGGGCAGAGGTGTTATATCCTTAACAATGGCCGCTTCTCTCAGCTGTGCTATTTAGGCATTTGAGCTAAACTGATGTTAACAAAAAACTAAGAGTTTGAAGCAGAATAAAAATTACATCCCTTCTTAATTAATCAGGTTTAACTGCATGGCATCTCTGATGGCATAATCCTACCAGTTCTCTAATCATCTACAGGATCTCCTAGGGGAAAAAAGGGAAGACAAGGCCTGCATCTCTAATATTTAAAACAAAAAGGCAGAAAAGAGAATTCAGAAGAGAACAGAAAACCTTTCAAAAGCTCTTCTTCGTTCTTCATAAAAAGGCGCAAACATATTTCCCTTTGCAGATCACTGTTAGCACTGAAGTCTTGAATACAAAACTCATGCAGTGACCAAAAGGAATGTTCATAATCAACAAATTCACTTGAAAAGGTTTTGTTAACCTGGGATAATCTCTAAATACACCACCAATGCCCATGAAAGAACAGGGATGTCTCTATGTTACTGCTGCTTTCTCGTACCCTCCCGCTCCCACCCCCCGCCCCCCCACCCACACACACACACCAGAGAGCACTGCATGCAGAAGGGGAAAAGAAATTACCATTCAGAAGCTTTCATAGTACAAATCCTTATTTATGAGGATAGGTCATGGTTTTATAGCTGCAGTTGAAGCTGTTTCCATGTGTGGAAGTTACCACTTCTAATGTGACAATGAGATGCAGCTTGCCTAAGGCCAGTGCATAAGGGATGCAAATGAATATTTCCCTTTCAGTGCCAATTTGGGGGATTAAAGTGGAATTTGTGTGTTTAAACATGGATTTTCTTTTGTTTGGAAAAAATTATGAAAAAGAAAATCCTTCACCTTAGGTATTAACCTTTCACAGCTGTGTCTTAAAATGCTAAATCCAAACACTAAAACAGCAATGAGAAAAAGCAGAAAAAATGCAAAGATGAATTAAATCAAACATTTTAGTAAACAATAATTCTTCTGAATATTTTTCACAGGACATATTTTTAAACATATGGGAGCATTCACAAGTAGGAGCACATGGAAATATGCATACAAGTATTTGACACAGGTAGGTACACTGTTTTTGGTAGTGTTCTTATATGCATGTTTCTACTCAAGGAATTTGTGCAGCAATGTTACATATATGTAACTGTATGTATGTAGGGATAGATTTTAAAAAAAGCACAAAAGGCAGCTAGGTGCCCAACTCCCATTGAAAGTCAACTGGAGATGGGTGTCTTCCTCCACTTTATGCCTCTGAAAATTTCCCCATTAAAATATTTGTGTTGGTATACACAGTTACATAGATATTGGATGGAGTTTTGTTATACACAGATACACAAGTAATTCATGTGAAATTTTTATACCCATGTAGTTACATGGATAGTTTTCGGAGTGCTATATTCAGACAGCAATGAATATGTTGTTTGTTCAGTATGTACGGGCCAGATCTTCATCTGGTAAAAATCAATTTAGCTCAGTTGGAGTCAATAGAAACTATGGCAATTTATGTCAGCTGAATATCTGACCCATACATTCATAAACTTAACTCAGGGCTCTAATTCTTTTGCACAGCATTTGTAACAGAAATAACTATACAAGCTTTGGTGTCTAGTTACTTCACTACAGTCTTCTTCATTTGCATCTCAAGTCTGTCAGTCTTGTTGTCAATAACAGTCATTCTAATTCCTATTAATGGGCTTCCTGATTCTGTCATTCTCCATAGCTCCATCCATGTGTTTTGTGATAGCCTAAATACCAGATGGATGAGTCTCTAAAGGAAGTAATGAAGAACCTGGAACTGGGGGAATGTGGAGCCCTGCACAGGGCCCAACCTGAACCTTCAACTCCCATTGGCATCAGTCCCTTTAGCGCCTGGGGCCATCCTGACAACAAATGAGCTTCCTTATTTTAAAACAGATTGTTAAGGGTTTCTTTTCTTCCATATACTAATCATGTCCTTCCCTAATCCTAACTGCACACTGGAATTTTTCAGAAGTGGCAGATTTAATATAACACACCATTGTCTTGGTGAATTATTTCCAGACCAGTCTAAAAAAGGTAACAGGAACAAAGATAACAAAAAGATAACAAGCAAGGTCACAAGTCACCCAACAGAAAAAAAGCTCATCAGCTGCTTTTTCCCTTCAGCTGTCCTGGGTGATAATGCTGTGTCAGGAGATCTTATCAAGATCAAATATTTTTCCACAATCCCCGAACATAAAGCTTTATCAAATTAATTATCAAAGCCTGTGAGGCAGAATTATCATCTTAATTCCATATGGTTTCTATTTCTTTTCCCCATATTTATGTGAAAAAACAAGCTCTGGCTCTGACAAAATAGGTGTATACATGGCACAAAAAGAGAAACTCACTCACCTACAACCTGGATGATTTCAGCCAGTAAGACTCCATCAGTCACATCTTGCTGTAGGTCCTTGATCAATCGTTTGTGACCAGATTTTGCGAGATAGTGATTAGCCCAATCCGTGTAAATCTATTAGGAGGAAAAGAAATACATAAAAACTAAATTTTAGGTATTTGATCAAACTTAAAAATGAGAATCCCATCTCTTAGTCCATGCACAACCACCTCTCACATTTTCAGACCTTGGACAGAAGATCCCTGCTTGTGAGCTGTATGAAACAATTTAGCACCATTACAATTCAAGGTATTGTGCAAATCAAGTATTCTGCATACTATGGGGTATGGCTTTTTTCTATTGAGAAATCTAACATTAGAGCTCAGGAAAAAACTACAGCAGTGGCTCTCAAGCTTTTGTACTGGTGACCCCTTTTACATAACAAGCCTCTGAGTGCGACCCCCCTTATGAATTAAAAAAAAATTAAATAGATTTAATACCATTATAAATGCTGGAGGCAAAGCAGGGTTTGGGGGGGAAGCTGACAGCTCGTGACCCCCTAGTTTGAGAACCCCTGAACTATAGCATGCTTCTAAACATGCTATGACATGAATGGAGTATCAGACATGGAACTAAATGTTTTGCAGCACTGACAAGGTTATGGAATTGGTTTCTATTTTCAAACTCAGTATTTTGTGTTTTCCCTCTGCCATTCCTTTTCTGTTATTGAGAAACCTTAAAGACTCATTTCTAAGGAAAATTTCTATGGCGTGATTTTCAGGATGAAGTTCCGTTTAAATGTTAACTAATAAGCTCTGATGCATGAGATCTAACTGCTCTAAAGTCCTAGTGCATGGGATCTACTATGTCCATTAGACTGATTTTAAATTCCCTTACAGATTTGTAATTACAGTTACTTCCTTTAAAATAAATCTCTATCTGAAATCCAAGCAAATATTAATCAAGCAATTAAACCACAAGACTTTAAATATATTTTTATTTATGGGCCACGTTTTACTCATCACAGACTATATTGCTTTTAACAGTAGTAAATACAGTATTCAGGATACATAACTTATTTGTCAAACACATAACCTTTTCAGAGTGCATTATCAAAAAGAAGAAAAACCTATTAAGGAACTTCCATTGATGAGCCCAATATTGTTCCCTGTTCCCAGACAGGACAAAATTAAAGAGAAACGCACCGTCTATGATCTATCTCAACTCAAAATGAATAAAGCCAAAAAATCTAGACATCTGAACTTTGTCCTTTGTTTTTTTCTTTTTCAAGTCAACCTTAAATTCCAACTTTACTCTCAAGGGTATCCAGCCTATTAAAAGACACAGTCATCCTATTTCAATGAATGTGTATAGTGTCAAACACGAAAGAGTTCCAATACTGCTAGTTTAACACATCCCTGCCTTACATATATTCTGAGAGAGATTTTATCTCCTGCTTTATTCCCTCAGCAGTAGTCAAAGAATTCAGCCCAATGCCTAGAGTTTTGTAAAGGAGGCCCATGATTCTTTTACAGTTCTTTGGAGCGGGAGGAGTCCAGACACTTGTCGAACCAACTCCTGTACCAGATGAGGAGTAGCCACCATCTTTCTCTTTTGAACCTGTTGGTTTTCAAGTTCCTGAAAATGCTAGGATGAAATTTTGATATCTCAAAATGAACCCTGAGGACTCTTGGGTAAAGTAAATGAATTTATGAACTCACAAAGACTACAGTCAGGTAACATCTGAAAAAGTAAACCCAAGAGGACCAAAAACCGTGAGCCGAATCTTATATAAACTAGGACATGTGCCTGACCACCAAAACCAAATGACTCTCAGGGCATATCTACACTACCATATGTCGCAAAAATTTATGTTGCTCAGGGATCTGGAAAAAACACACCCAAGCGACATAAGTTTCACTGGCTGTGTGCACAACGCTATGTCAGCTGGAGAGCTTCTCCTTCCGACATAGCTACAGCGGCTATGAGCGGCTACACGAAAGATTTTACAGCAGCACAGCTGAATCGGTACAGCTGTACTGCAGTAAACTCACTATGTAAAACATGGCCTAAATGACAGTAATGCTAAACAATGGCAGAGCTTTTAGAGATTTGTGTGGAGCCAGAATCTCCTCACTTATGCCAGTTTTACACAAATATAAGTGAGAATCAGGACAATTACTTCCATATTTGGAGATTGGCAAGGTAGAAATGCTGATTTCTACCTGCCTTTAAAACAAAGACTGTCTTTCATATAAATTTAAGGATGATCAAAGACACAAACAAACAGATAATATCAAGCTAGCAGATAGAGTACTCCATATACATAACTGCTAGACTCACGGCCAGGTAATCTGGGACATCTGTATTAATGTTGCACAGTTGGTTATCTATTTACGGTAGAATTCAATTTAATTTCAGAATCTTCATAAACAAACCCCACAGTTTACAATGTTCATCCCCACTATTAATTTGGTTCCTTCTTCCTGAAACACTGTACTAATGATTGGCATTGGTAGCTCAGGAAGTATTCATTCACGGAGACAGAGCCGTACCAGCTGTTACTATACTAAATTAAAACAGGGTCAAAAGGGAACCAGACCTCTGTAAAGTCTGTTTGTTCTCATTCCAAACAAGGAAACATGAGAGACTCTTTAAAAAAAAGAAGAAAAAAGAGTCATGTTAAAAAATATCTGTAAAGGCCCCATTTCTATATTAAGATCAGTTCTTTCTTTAGAATAACAGCACTCAAACACTTTTTGGGACAGATTAAGGCCCTTACATGCTAATGCCAATGGTGTATGGGTTCGGGCCCCGTGACAATCACAAGTTCACTGAGTGCATGGAAATCAGGAAAATATCTCCAAATCATGATTTTTTTTTCAAATTTCTTATAAAAAAGTAAAATGTGTATAATAAAGTATTTCATACAAAATAATCACCTTAGCAAACTGTACAGCTCAGCTGCTTCATACCTGTGTGCACTAGCCTCCTGCACGTGCAGCATAAGAGTGCTGCGTGCATGCAGAAGAAGAGAGTGCTGTGTGAACATGCAGCATAGAGTGCTGTTGATCCCTAAACACAATCTAGGTTGGAAACAGAATGCAATAGTGTTGCCAACTTTCTACTCGCACAAAACTGAACACCCTCGCCTTGACCCTGACCCTCCTCTGAAGCTCCGCCCCCGCTCTCTCCATCCCCACCCCTGTCGCTCGCTCGCTCATTTTCACCAGGCTGACTCAAGTGGTTGGGGTATGGAAGGGGGTGAGGGTTCCAGGATGGGGCCAGAAATGAGGCGTTCAGGGTGTGGGAGGCGGCTCCAGGCTGAGGCAGTGGGTTGGGATGCAGGAGGGGATGAAGGCTCTGGCTGGAGGTGCAGGCTCTGGGGGGTTTGGGGTGCAGGAGGTGGCTCTGGACTGGGGGGGTGGAGTCGAGGGGTTCGGAGTATCGGAGGGGGCTCCGGGTTGAGGCGGGGGTGGGGTGCGAGGTGTGTGTGAAGGCTCTGGCGGGGAGGTGCGGGCTCTGGGGGTGAGGCTGGGGATGAGGGTTTGGGGTGTAGGAGGGAGCTCCAGGCTAGGGATGAGGGGTTCGGTGGGCAGTAGGGGGATCAGGGTGGTTGTGGCGTGGTGGAGGTAAGGCTCTGGGGTGCAGGAGGGGTTTTGGGGTGGGAACAAGGGGCTCAGGGGTTGGGGCAGGAGTGCAGGCTCCGGGCAGCGCTTACCTTAAGAAGCTCCCGGAAGCAGTGGCATTTCCCCCCCGCTCCAGCTCCTACGCAGAGGTGTGGCCAAGTGGCTCTGCACGCTGCTCCGTCTGCAGGAGCTGCCACCGCAGCTCCCATTGGCCACAGTTCCCGGCCAATGGGAGCTTGGGTGGTGGTGCCTGCAGGCAAGAGCAGCGCACGCCACAGAGCCTCCTTCCCTCCCAGGAGCCGAACTTGCTGGCCACTTCCAGGGTGCAGCACAGAGCCAGGACAGACAGGCAGCCTGCCTTAGCCCCACAGACCGAGAGCCGCCAGAGGTAATCTCACATCCCAACCCCAGCCCTGAGCCCCGCACCCAAAACTGGAGTCCTCTCCTGCACCCCAAACCCATCATCCCTGGCCCCAGCCCAGAGCCTGCATCCCCAGCCTAGAGCCTGTACCCCACGCTGCACCCCAACCACCAGCCCTGGGCCCTCCCAAACCCAGAGCCCCCTCCTACATCCCAGAGCCTACACCCCCAGCCCTCACTCCCCCTGCACTCCAACCCTTGCCCCAGCCCAGGCCCCCTCCCACACCCTGAACCCCTCACCTCCTCCTGCACCCCAACCCCCTGCCTCAACCAGCAGCCCCCTCCCACATTCTGAATCCCTCAGCCTCACCCCGCAGCCTGGAGCCCCCTCCTGCACCCCAAACCTCTCATCCCCAGCCCCACTCCAGAGCCTGCACCCCAGCCGGAACCCTCACCTCCTCTTGCATTCTGAACCCCCCCATTTCTGGTCCCACACTGGAGCCCGCACCTCCAATTAGAGCCCTCATTCCCTCCAACCCCATGCCCCCGCCCAGTGAAAGTGAGTGAGAGTGGGGGAGAGCAAGTCACCGAGGGAGAGGGAATTTAGTGAACGGGGGGGCGGGGGGGGGTGTCTCGGGAAAGGGGCGGGGCTAGGGTGTTCAGTTTTGTGCGATTAGAAAGTTGGCAACCCTAAATCAGCTGAAACGTGAACGGTTACCTAAAGCTGCTGCATGGACAAGCAGCAGATTGTGTAGTTGGTGAAGCAGTCAGGTTACTCCTCTTTGGTCACTGACAAATTGACTGATGCCAAGATCAGTATGTTTAACAGATTTTATTTGTTTAGAAAGACTTAAATGGTGACAATGCATCTGACTTGGAAATGAAAGCTGTCCTTCCTGATACAATTTACTTACAGGCTGTTAATTACAACACTACTGCACAGTGCACTATTGTAAAGTGTTTGAATACTTATGGGGGGGAGGGATAGCTCAGTGGTTTGAGCATTGGCCTGCTAAACCCAGGGTTGTGAGCTCAATCCTTGAGGGGGCCACTTGGGGATCTGGGGCAAAATCAGTACTTGGTCACTGTTAGTGAAGGCAGGGGGCTGGACTCAATGACCTTTCAAGGTCCCTTCCAGTTCTAGGA